GGAGAGAGGGAGACACGGAGACACCGGGAAGCACTGTGCGCGCAGGCAGACCCAACCCTTCAAGGAAATGCGCCTGCAGCGGTCACGGACCAGGGATCCGAACGGCAGAATCCGAACCCAGGGCAAGCCTCTCTTTCCCTGGGGTAGTTCATAGACAAGTCCTCTGCAGCAGTAAGCTAGCGGACTGGGGCTAGAGGCATCCTCCGGTGACCAGGCACTCTGGGGTAGGGTTTGGATCCCCTTCCCCCTGAGTCCCCACCCAAATTGTGCCATACCCTAAGTGGATCAAGGACTCCTGGTGTAGCACTGTGGGATAAAGCACTGGACCGCAAGGACGGTTTGAACCACAAGGTCGGCAGTTCAAACTCATTAGCCGCTCCTTGGAAATACAGGGTCGTTATGAGTCATATCGTAGTGGTTACGACTCGGGCTGTGAACCTTAAGGTCAGCGGTTCGAAACTACCAGCCGCTCCGCGGGAGAAAGATGAGGCTTTCTACTCCCGTAAAGATTTACACCCTCGGAAACCCTGTACAGGGTCGCTATGGGTCGGAACCGACTCGACGGCACTTAACAACAACAACAACATGAGGCAGAAGCGACTAGAGGGCACTTAACTACAACAAAGTGGACCAACGTTCTTGCCCCACCCGGCTTCCACCACACAGCTATACAGGCGCCACCACATTGGAAATTGCAGGCTCAGGAGGCCAGCCAGCTGTGCATCCTTGTTCCCAAACATATTCTCTGGGTTTTTAACATAATCTGCCCAACTCAGCCTACGGTATACCTCTACGTATCTCCAACAATCTAAGACGACCTGGCACAGAGGAAGTTAGAAGGAAAATATGGGGAAGGGGTTTACCAGGCCAGAAGTGAATTCTTATCAATGTGTTACTAGGAGAGAGGGACGAATGACCCCTGGTCCTATTATCACTGTAAGGAATAATAAGTTTTTCTTCAAAGAAATTTTTAAGGTCTCATTCTTGTCCACTTGTGATTGTCACCTCAACCCCTCCCCTGTTTCCTTCTCTCAAATCAGGGCCAGGAATCAATCTCTGAGACAGGACAGGGTTTTTCTGTTCTACCCGCTGGGCATCAGGACCTTCCATGGGAGGAGGGGATGACTTGGGTGATGACATCACCAGGAGCTGGCATTTCTACTTTGGAGCGCGCGCTGAGCTGACAGTTCTCTGCACAGATGCTGGGAGGCCTAATACCTGAATGTCCTTGGGTCTCCTTGAGGAGTGTTCTTAACTAGCTGTGAGCCCTGCCTGCCCTGGTGTGCCCGTCACAGCAGCAGACCTGCAGTTTGCTGGCTGTATCCTTTGGGCTTCTGTGTCTAGCTGTATGCTAATCTTCCCTAACTCAGATTCAGGGGGTCAGCTCAAACACTTTCTAGTGACCCCTGGTGAGAACTTCACCTCTTCCAGGAAACCTTTCCAGACCACCCAAGTCTTGGTCCCCTCTTTTGGTTAATAAATTTGCAAATGAGTGATGGGCCCCGGAAGTTAACTAGGGGCATTGAGTGGGGTTCTTAGAGAAAATGGACGACAGAACCAAAGTTTGGTCTCCAGGGTTACTTACTGTTGCCACAGGCTGACCAGGGGTCAGGGCCTCTTAAGTCCTCCGGCTCTAGTGCCTTGTTGTTGTTGTTAAGTGCTGTTGAGTTGGTTCCGACTCATAGCAACCTTGTATAGGGTTTCCAAGGAGCAGCTGGTGAGTTTGAACCACCGACCTTGTAGTTCAAAACGACCTTGTGGCCCAGTGCTTTATCCCACAGTGCCACACCAGGACACCTTCCATTTAGTCAGCAACACCTATTCAGAACTATCTAGGATCATCCTTGGGTACAAATCAATGAGCATTAGATAAATCCAGCACCTGGTACCTGATAGGGCCTGGCATCTTTTGTCTCCTCTATGTGAAATCCCTAGTAGATGACATCATGGAATACTAGCAGTAGCGAACAAAGGAGGAGAATGCCCAGATCTTCTCCTAGTTGAGCTCCAAATTAAGTTTACTCCTTAATTCCTAAGCATAGGGAGGCAAGACTTATGCTTAGGAATTGAGAATAAACTCAAGACAGAAAATAAGTGTCTAAATTATGCCCAGACTGCCTGGAGGAGGGGTCAGATTTGGTCAGAGGTATGTATTTTTCACTTTATAGTTTACACATCATTTGTTAAGTCACACAAAATTGTCATTTTTGTGGGTCAAATACAGTTAACTTTCAGAAATTTCATGTGGCTCAACCTAAAATTCCAATCCCTATTTGCAGTCAGAGAACTAAAGTTCAGAGAGGTTAAGTGACTTGCCAAATGTCCCACAGCAAAAACATGGTGGAACTCCAACCAAGGCCTTTTCTCTACTGGGCAGCTGTCTCACGTGGGTAAAAGGGAAGGAGTCAAGTGCAGGTGCAGAAAGAAGAGGTAATTCTGAGTCTGGTCTGGTAGAGAGAAGGTCAACAGTGGGGAAGGAATGGAGTCCACACAGTGTGTACTCTCTGTATAGTTCCACTCCCCGACCCCGGCTTTTGTCCTCCCCTTCCCAGTATTTTCAAGAAGGCTTGGGTGGGGGCTGCTCTGGCTTCTGTGATAACACAATGTCTAGGACCTGGGGACAAGCCTCAGGAGCAAGATAGGGAAAAGACCTGCCACTCTCAGTGTCAGTGGAGGACTGGGCACCTCCAAGAGACAGATGGACTCCTTGCAGTGCTGCATGGAGCCTGAGAATTCCTGGAATGCAAACCCAGCAAAGATTTGTATCTAAGAACAAGAGAGGATGGATTTCCTTCCCTGGGTACCTAGATAATATTGAGTGTCCATGAAGTTCAGTAGGCCTGCTAGAAATAGGATGGGGATATAGTTAACTGTACGATGGGGCTTCAAAAAATTTATGGAAAAATGGAACTGAAAGATAATAAAACATTCTTAAAGCCTCCTCATGTATCAACCTCAGTTCTGATTTGATGAGGAGCTCACTGGGCAGGATGGGGTGGGAAATTCTGGAAGTGCATTTGCTTATGAACTGCAGGCATTTTTCTTGTTTGGAGAAGCAGCTCTAGGATAGGGCAATGGCTCCCATATGCTGAAATGCCAAGGTTTGGACTAGTCCTGCATGAAATGTAAAAAAGAGAGAAAGAACAATGTAGGATATTTTAGTGTAAGGCTGCCAACTGTCCGTTCTTAGAAGGCTGTCTTTATTCTAAGATTATATCCTTCCTACATATTCTGTGTTAAAATGCCCTTTTATGAAACCATGGTTCTAGGAGATGGTGTTTTTTTAATGTCCTTGGCATAGGTTCTGTGTTTGCTCCCAAAAATCGTTTTTTGAAATGTTACTGGGCTGTGGATTCCAAAAGTCTGGGAACCCCTTCTGTAAACAATAAAGCAATAGAAAGGAAAATAAAAGCTGTGGAATTAAATACTTCTCTGTCATTTACTGTTAGTGTATGCCTCAATATTCCTCCTATGTAAGATGGGTTTAATGATATGCACAAGTTTTTGTAAAGACTCAATGAACACACCCAGCATGGTGTCTCATTTGTAGTAAGTTCTCAATCAACACTGAATGACGAAATGAATGCATGAATGAAACCCACGTTAGCCAACTAAGAGGAAGATACTTGGCCTTTCAAATCTGATTTCAGGTCATATATTTAACTTCAAAATTATTGTGATAAAAGGGATGTTGTTACAGATTAAATTGTTTCCCTCCCCTTGCCCCAAATATGTGTTGTAATTCCTAACCTATGCCTATGAAGATCAAAGACCACACACAACTTTCGGTATGGACTGCATCTCAAAGTAAAGAAAACAAAAATCCTCACCACTGGACCAATAAACAACATTCTTATCAA